GCCTGGGGCTGGGCTGGGGGAGACTGGGAATGCTCGGAGGGGTCCTGGAAGGGGTCCTGGTGAAAAGGGGAAGACCCTGGCTTTCTAAGTTCTCTCTGAAGTTGGGGTCCATTGGAGCCTTATTCTCCCAGAAGCTTCAGGCCCCTAGGCCAAAGGGTATAGGAGTACCCCTCCTTCCTCCTTCACCGTCAACCGAGAATTGGACAAGTCCCAAGGAGCGGGTCCCCACACTGTCCCACACGGGTCTCCACATTGTCTCACCCAAGCAGCTGAGTAGGAGAGATAGGTATCCAGCCAGGCCCGGCTAGGAGGCAGGACCCCCATCTTTCCCACAGCACCTGAGTCAAGGCCTAAGATACCAACCCAGGAGGTAGGTGTGAGCAGAAATGAGTGACAAAACCTTCCTAGATCTCCAGCCCAAGCCATTCCAGGGACTGCCCAGGTGAGACCTGGGTCACCTAGCAGTGAGGAGGGAGGGCAGGAGTCTTAAGTTTCTCTGTGTCGTGAGGGAAAACGAAATTGGCAGGGCCTCCAGGCTTACTAGGCTGGAGGCACACACACCCAGTGCCTCTGATTCAGAGAGAGCTTTCCAGAGAAGTGAGGATGACACAGAGGCTGGTGGCATACCTTGCTGGGAAGAGCTTCTTCGGAAGTATAGACCTTTTACCTGCCCAGGCTTCCCTCACCTACGCCATTTGGCAAAAGTCCCCCATGCCTCTTCATGCTGATTCTGGGTACTTTATCACAGGCTCTCTGACCCCAATGCTGTTTGCTAGGTGGAGGGTAAGTGAGGCAGGTCACAGACATAGATAGTTCCTGGGCCTGAGATAATGCGTTGCAATGACAGGGCAGGATAACCCAGGAGTCCCCTTCTCAGGCATGGAACCTGCCACCCTGGATCCACACAGCCCAGCCTCTAGCCAACTCTTCCCCATTTGTGTGCCCCTTCCCCCGCTCACTGTTTGTGTGTGTGTGTGGGGGGGGCATTTCTGAGACCAGATAAAGGTAGCATGGCTGGCAAATGGGCACCTGAGGCGGTTGCCGGCTTGAGGGAGTGGGTTGGGGATGGCTGGCAGATATAGGTTTTGAGGTGGAGGTGCTGGATGGGGCAGGCAGAGGGGCAAGAAGAGGGGCAGCTACCTCTGCTGAAGATGGGACTCTCGTAGGGGATCTTATTTCGAGTCTCGAGACTAGAGCAGTTCCAGCGCTGGTCCCGGAACTGGTGCTGACATTCGTGGATGGCAATCTGGATGCCCTGGATGGCTGAGGCAGCCACATCAGGGTGGCGCACACACACCTCCATCTGCCGCCTACTCAGGCCGGGCAATGTCAGGCACACGGTGTTGGCGTCCAGCACGGGCTCCGGGGGAAGACGGAGGCCCAGAATGTCGTTGGGTGCTGACCTGCAGAGTGGGATGGGGGTGGGTGAGTGTTTGGGGAACTAGGAGGACCCCATCTAACAATACACAGTCTGTCCCAAAGGCTATAATCCCCTGGCCTTTGACTTTGGGCCCATCAGTGTACCCCTAAAGCATTCTCTTTTCTTTGACCTTCTCACCAGCATCAACTCCAACAAAACCCACACAGCTGCACACCCACACAGGTAAACATGTGCAAATGCACACATCTGGAATGCCTGAACACACAGTATTTTATAAGTACATTTGCAGACATAGATGCTTACACACACAGCATTCCCCAGAAGACCACTCTTTAAGACATGTTTCAGACAGTCATATTCCTGAAGACACACTTCTGCACATTGAGGTGAACGCCCAGACCCACTTACACACATGCACACTTCACCAGACATAGTTACACACACAGACACACAAGTACACACATGTGTTCATCTTAACATCTAGGAGCTCTCACATTCACATACATGTGAATACAGACTGCTATTTACATAACACAGCTTGCTGGGCTCACTCAAACACACACACACACACACACACACACACACACACACACACACAACCCTTCCATCTTCAGTACCTCACTGGCCCCACCTGGGCTATACCCTTCCAACCCCCAACCCTGTCCCTGCCTGTGAGCCATCTCCAAGGTGAAGCAAGGCAGTTTGAACTTACTCCTCAGGTGGGAGTGCATAGCCCCAGCACAGCACTGACTCCAACTTGGTACTTGCTACACACACACACACACACACACACACACACACACACACCTTCCCTTCTAGTAGCCATCACTCTCCTGGGCACTGCCCTGTCTCCCTGGACTGCCCATATTCTGTCACCAGTTCTACACCCTCCTATGAGGACACTGTCTTTCATTGGGCAGCAGGACTTTCCTGCGACACTGTCCCTCCCTCCTTCCAGGGTCCCCAGAGGCCTCTGTGGCTGGGGGTCCCAGCTCTCTAGGAGGGCGGAGCATAAGGTGAGGGCTCACCTGGGCAGGGCGGCAGCCAGCAGCAGTAGGAAGAACAGGAGCGCGCAGAGCGCGGGCCGCGG